ATTAGTTGAACTTCTTTCTGCCATATCCCTACCAACATTCTGTAAAAGATAAATTAATGACTTTCATAAATAAAACACTGTTGTCTTTGCCTAAGTCTACATTTTCTAAAACCACTATTTAAACCTTTAAAAAAAAAAAGAAAAAAAAGAAAAAGCTCTCACGTTGGTTATTTGCAAAAAAGGCGACAGAGACCGTCTGTAAAGGGATATGCAGAGTTACACAAGAAAAGGGTAAAGAAAGCATGGATTATTCATGCCTTTTCCCACAGTGCAAACACCTCCTCTTTTGATGGATTGTGCCTGGGGCGCTTCTCTCTGCTCAATACCAACAGTCCCAGACAGCTCTGGCTCACGCTGCAGCACAGAGCTGAAATAGATGATGAGCTTCCCCCGGAATCACAGACGGAGCCAGCGGCTCTTGTCTTCGCTCTGCAGCCAGACATAATGATGCTGTGTGGTCTGAGGTGAGCCTAAATTTAGAGCTTCAGCAGGAGGTTAGCAGACCAGAGATGTAGCGGGAGGTAAGTGCTGATGCCATCTTGGTGAGCTGACTGAAGGGGAGGAAGGAACGTAGTGGATGGGGTGTGGATTTCTGCAACAGACGGCTGATAGGTGGAGGACAAAGGACAGATGAGACTACACAAGCTGCTGTCACCTTCTGCAGGGTGCAATAACAAAATTTCCATTATATGTGTCAGCAGTAGTCTGTTGTGAAAGAAAAAAAAAATGAGTTTCTCACTTGGATCAACTCCAAACTGTGGGGGGAAAAGCTCCTGGATTGTCAAACCAAAGAGGAAGGCAAACTCTGACTGTGACATTTGTCGTGCTTTTGCATTTACCCCCAGTCAATACTTTTGTAGAGGCATCATTCTCTGCAGTTCCAGCATTTCATAGCTCTGGCATGTTTCGAGTTATTGTCTTGCTAAGGAGAACCTCTGCCTCCTCATGTCTGTTTCAGTCAGTACTCGCCCCCCCCCCCCCCCCACCCCGCCCCAATATGTAGTTTTTATAAGACAGAAAGAAAAAAAA